CATGTGCCTGAGAGGACTGCACAAATGTTTCTTGAATTCTGGCAAGCTTGGTGCTGCGACCACTTCCCTGGTCTCTCCTTCTGCAGACTGAGTAAAGCCTAATGCCCTCCAATTTTTTGGAGCTAGAAATTTTGACTGAAACGTTTGAATTATACAGTGAGTTAACATTTTTGAGTCTAGGAGCAACTGAAGGGATTCTGGCCTGAGCAGCAGCATCACCTCTAAAAACCCCTTAATAATTCACAAATTTTCCCTTACAATTTCACAAATTTCCTCTGTATAGTCCCTGTGTATGGTGGCATTTCTAAGGGACAATTTTGCTCTGATAAAGCTCTTTGGATCAGACTGTTAAGGGCACACATGAGCTTTATATGCTAGCTCACATTGTTACTGACAAGAGACATTTCTTTGAAAGACATAGGGGATGTGCATTTGGAAAAAAGCTCACAAAATGCAACAAAGCTATAAAAAGATAAAGCAAGAGTACACAGTGTAAAATTAGGCTTTATAAGAGGTATGACTTGCAAGAGAGGTTGACTCCTTTCCCCAAGCTGGACTGGCAGCTGCCAAGAGTGGTGTGGGTGACACTTCTCCTTCTGTCATGGCAGCAAGAAAAAGCTTCTGAGAGAAGCAGCTCTGTCTTTTTTATCCTTCCTGGAGCTAAACAGATGGACTCAGCCCTTGTGCCCCACCTGACCCTGAAAACACTTCCAGGATACCTGGCAGTAGGGCAGGGATCAGGTTGCATCTTTCCCCTCAACCTTGCAGCATCCTGATGAACAAATATCCATTGCACACCCAAACAAACACATTCTAAACTGCTTCCCTCCCCTTTAGAGCTTTTTAAAACAAAACAGCAAACTTCATGTTTCATGACAAACAGGAATTGTACAAACATCTTCCAAGTTTTGTCTTGCCAGGATCTTTAAATGGGTTCCTTCTGCAATACCTAGGAACAAAAATCTGGGGCTACCTAGACCATATCCCCTCTTTCACTGCCTTCACAAAATCAGATTTGTGGTTTGACCCAGGCAAATTCCCTGTGGACCTCATCACACCAAACTAAAATTTCTTAAAAGGATTAGAACAGGCTGCCAAAAATTCTCAAGTGCTACAATCTCATCAAGTGTTACACAAAGTTCAACTCATAGTTCCAGGCTTCCAAGCTCATTAGTACACAAAACACCAAAGTCAGGAAGAACCCTTGGGATTCTTTCCCTACTTCTAAGCTCCAATTGTACAGCTGAGTATAGTCACAAGACAAGCTTGGCAGAGGAGACAACTCTAAGCAGGAGGATTTTCCTGAGAAAAGGAAGGCCTACAGATGCTCAAAAGGAAAAAAAAAGAAAAAGGAGGGACAAACAAATTCTGCCAAAAAGATTTGACAGTTCAAAGTCTCTGCACTACTATTCTCCAGCCCCTTCTAAAACCACACTGCTAAAGAAAACAAAATAATGATAATTTATGATCATTTCCTACCAAATAGCAGACTTGAGACTGCAGTGATCAAGTCACTGAGGAATATTCCCCAGCTCTGTCCTGTTCTGTTGACACTGAAGCCCTGTCAACAGCAGCAGGGGAAATTTCACACAACCGGTCTCACAACAAAGTTATCAAAGTCCAGCTACAAGTAACTCTACCAAAAGGTATCACCACTCTTCTAAGGGAGCAAGATAACACTTAACTGGCCTGGGATGATCTCATAGACCTGAAGACCAGAAGGAGACCAGAAAAAGCACATGGCACATAAAGCTATCCACCAGCTGGATGAGCCTGCTTGCCTCTAGAGACATCTAAAACAGGTACAAAAGTGTTTGGAAGCAGCGGTGCCTCAACAATGCAATCTCAACAGAAACAATGATAGTAAAAGAGTATCACGCCTTGAAATCGACACAAAACAATCTACAGATCATTTGTCCAGCCACTTACCCGTTTGAAGTGATCATCCAAATCTACTCCTTGTGTTTGCTCTGGCTCCGAATCCATCAGAACTGCCTCCTGGTAGCAGCTCTTTGTCTCACAGGTGGGTTCCAAAGGAGGCATCTCAGCTGCAGATGCTGCTGCAAAGACCATAATTTGGCTGTTATTCTTTGTTGGACTGATACAGTGTTGCATATGAAGCAGAAAGGGAAAACATTAAAAAAAAATGGAAGTCTGCAAGCATTGGTGCTGTTTTCCTCAATACTTGTAGCATTCACAGCCACCACATTAATGAGTATTTACTGTGTCAGCAAGTTAAAACAAAACAACAATCACTTGCTCTTGTAAGCAAGTTGAAGGTTAAAATTAATTGCTAGAATAATGTTAAAATATATTTTCTCTGGAAAAGCTGTGAATTTGGCAGGAACTGTATGTAATTATCCACCCTGTCCCATAGGTTTTATGGGAATGATAAGGGCATCTGCAGTCCTGTCTGTTTTGTAGAACACTGTAGCCATGCCTTTCAGGCCAGTGTTAAATATTCAGTCTCAAAAAGTGTATGGCAAAAGCTTTACCAGCCTACAGAGCAGACATTGAGAAGACCCTTCTAGTTTTTTCACCTATTACCTGGAATGACTAGAAATTCCAGTCCCGCACACACATTCAGCAAGTCCATACTCTGAATGGGATAATCAGCCTTTCTTTCACCTACACCACAAAACAGTGGCAAAATACTTCTTGTTAAATTCTCTGCTACCAAGACAACTGCCTTGTGACAGCTGCTTCTGCAGCACTCAACAACCCTTCTGTGCCAAACCCCGGGGGAATCAAGACTTCTACAGCAACGGGAAATGCAGCAACAGAAACTTGAAAGGCAGTTGCTTGGCCACAGAGCTTGTAAGAGCCATGTGCCTTCAGTTAAACACATCACCTTACCTTGCAGCATCTCTTCTTCCTGAGCCTCACCTTGAGGCACCTCTTCCTCCTCAGCTTCACTTTGAGGCATCTCTTCTTCCTCAGCCTCACCTTGAGACACCTCTTGCTGTTCTATCTTGCTTGCCAAGTACTTCCTCAGGACCAGCAAGGAACCTGCCTTTGTCTGCTCAACAACAATGGTATCAGACATGCTCCTGAGGACTTCAAACACGGACAAAAATCCGTACTGCCTGTACTGGAACGCCCGGCCAAAGCGTCTGTGGAAGGCCTTGTCCAAGTCCGCCAGCAGAAGCGGTGAGGAGCTCAGCAGGTCCTGCAGCTCAGCCTTCACCATTGCTGGCAGGACAGGAATCCCAGCACTCAGAGTTTGGAAGCTCTGTGGATTCTTAGAGTTCTTAGTGGGAAAAGTAGCATTTGCCTTTGTAGCAGTTTTCTTTGATGCCTTACGTGTCTTTACCTTCTGGTTGGCAACCAGCTTGGCAATCTCTTTGGTGGAGTCATCTGCAATGGCTGCAACAGAAATAAACAGACAACCAGAACAACGAGCCATTAAAAGCTATACACTGGCAAAGCTCATTCTCATTCCTTTCCTTCCTCTTCTCCACATTCCTTCCAGAAGCACTTGTCTTCTTCAAAAGCAATCACACTAAACCATGGCTGATTTCCAGCAACCTCACCCTTTCCAAACTGGACTGAACTATTTTTGAAAGCCAGCAACCAGTTTGTACCCTCATCCCTAGAAATTCAGACCAGGCAGGAAGGCAGGTCAGATTCTTGGATGCAGGATCACAAACAAAAACCAAGCTCCTAAGAGTTTTGCTGGGAGAGCAGAATCACAGTAAACTCTCAGTACAGAGCACTCCCTGCCCAACAAAGGTCTCCCTGGAGAACAGCCCAGGTCTATTCCAAGCTTCTAAACAACTTTTGCTTGTGTTACTGTAGCACTCAAAAAGCCCCCAGCCATTTCACCCTTCCCAATGAACTCTTTGCAACTGCCATTTGTTGTCACAACTCTTCCCCAAAGAAAAAGAAAATGAAAAAGGTTCTTTGATACAGGCTAAGCTCCCTATGTGGTCAGGTACAGAAACCTTCACAGCTTCTCTCGAGAGGCCCCAGCCCTGGTTTTGGCTCCTGCTGTAGTCTGCATTTACAGGAAAAGTGAGACTTACCAGTTCTAGCATATACATAAGGAAATGTTATATCAGTTTCTAAACCAAGTGCAGAGTGAAAAAGTGTACACAAATAACTAGAAGCATGGGTGACTTTTTTAGGAGGGAAGAGCACAAGTGTTAAAAGACAGATCAAAATACAAGAAAAAATATAAAAGGCGAAAAATTAACCAGAGTTGTATGAGAAACAGATTAACAGATATGTGACACAGTTCTGCACACGCCAACACCACTTCACTCCACTATGAGGTTCCAAACAACTCCTCCACCCATTTGCAAACAAAACCTCACCTTTGAGTATTAAAGCACCATTCTTAAAAGAACAGATTTGGACAACTTCAGGCATTTGTGTCACCAGCTCCAAGGTGGACTGGAAGCCCAGGTCACGCAGAGGGAGAGGTTTGCAGACCATGGCCATGTACTGCTCCTCCAGCTGCTCTGGCGTCAGGCCCGCTTTGGCAGCTATCAGCATGGCCCTCACCTCCTTCTTCAGCACCTCCATAAGCTGCGCCTGCCTCGATGCCTCTGTACTAAAGGGGAACACAAGCAAGCAGATGACAACTTGTACCACAGCTGCCCATAACCACGTGGAATTCTAGCTTTGTCCCACTTAGCACCTGAAAGCTGGCAGCAGGCTCACGAACAACCCTTGCATTCACTTGCCAGCACCCCTGGAGTTTAATGCACTCTTAAACCTCTGCCAGTGCAGACACCCTGCGCGTCCATGCTGCTGCCCGAGGACACCCCACCCACCGCCGGCATCAGTGCTGCTCCTCGCAGACACCCCTGTGACCCCCAAGGCGGGGATTCGCCCCTCAGCCTCGCAGGTCCCCCAGGAACATCCCCGTTCCCCTCAGCCCCGTGCCGAGACTCCCCGCGTTCCCAACGCACGGCGCCATCGCTGCGGCCTCCCCGAGCGCATGCGCGGCGCCTTTCCCGCCTTTCCCGGGCGCGAGGGCGGGGCGGGGCCGCTCCTGCCCCCTCACGCCGGCCGGGGCCGCCATTGCTGCGCCGCTGAGGGGAGCGGGTGGCGCCGCCCTCAGCGCTGAGGTGGGATGGGCTGTCCGCTGCCTCGGGGCTGGGGCGGACCGGCCGGGAGGTGCTGCCCCTGCCTTCTTAAAAAACAAAAACACCAAAAACGGGTGAAGATCTCAGATGATCGAGTCCAACCCAAGACCCAACACCACGACGTCAGCCAGACCAGAGCATCGAGTGCTATGTCCCGGCTTTCCTTAAACACCTTCAGGTGATGTCCCCACCTCCCTGGGCAGCCTGTTCCAGTGTCTAACCACTCCTTACTGTGAAGAAATTTCTCCCTAGTCCAACTCAAACCTCTCCTGGTGCAGCTGCAGACTATGTCCTCTTGTCCTATCTCTAATTGCCTGGGTGAAAAGCCTGGGTACACCCTGCCGTAATTGTGGCTGTAGAGGGTGGTAAGGTCTCCCCTGAGCCTCCTTTTCTCCAGACTGAGCTCCCCACAGCTCCCTCAGCTACTCCTCATCAGACTTGTGTTCCAGACCCTTCCCCACCTCCATTGTCCTTCTCTGGACTTGTTCCAGAACCTCCATGTCCTAATGTAATTAAGAAGAGTCTTGTATTTTGTAAGAGGAGTCTTGTATTGCAAGGAGCCTTTATATTTTTTTTGTCCCATCTAAGAGGAAAATCCATAGTGGAGACACAAAAAGCACATTAGGAAAGAGTCACACACAGAACAGGACCAGTTCCTTCATTGTAACAACATTTAAAACCAGATGTGGTTATTAAGAGGAGTCTTGTATTGTTTTCAGTCTCATCTGAGAGGAAAATCCACAGAGGAGACAATGACTTTCCAGCAGACTGAAGTTAAAGAGGGGTGCAATGGCTTTTTCCTAAGAGCTCACAGATATCCGAGAAACCCCCTGATTTGGATCTGCACAGCTGATTTCCATACAGGAGTACTTTTCAAATTAAAACAGGAGCTGAACTTGTGAATTTTGGAACACCCATCAGCATGTGCTCTCAAAAAAATCTCCTCTTTTCAAAAGTTAGTAATGAAACACATCTCGCTGGCATGGTGGAGTCAGGACCCACTGCTTGAATAAAACATCAGACAAAACCAGCATGTTGCAGGTTTGGAGGTGTTAAACATGCCAGGATTCTTCTGACAAGACACCATCTGGAATCCAGTACCAGACCTGAGCTGCCTTTTGCTGCTGCTGCTGCTTAGAACACTACCTGCCTTTTCAGCAGCTGGAGACATGTTGGCCAAGTGATAAACACAAAGTGGAAAAGGTTTCTGGAGCACTTCCAAAGAATATACACTGTATAAATTTATTAATTATGCCCCATTTACACCCAACTTTTCTCTGCCTTTAGCCCTTTCCATCCATCACTTCCCTGGTGATCTGCTGACATGGCACAGCAGAGAAAGCAGGCAGCTGTTGCTCCTGCCCTCCCTGCCTGCAATATCCTGACTCCAGGTGGAGCACAAGTCTCCAATAAAACAGGAATCTGTGAAAAAACAAGATCAGCACCTCCCCAGCTGTCTACCCAGCTCCCTCTAGCCACTCCTCCGCACCAGCGATTGGAATCCCTGAGCTCAGCCCTGCCCTGCTTTATGTCCCAGGTGTGTCTTTCTGTAGTGTAATATCTAGCCAGGGGCTGATTTCTTTAATACAGTTGGTGACTTTAAAAGTGTTTCTTCTACAGGTTTCTGCAGATGTCAACACAGGCTGAGCAGCATGAAAAGAGAAAGCTCCTGTATTTGCTCTGCCTTGCTCCTGCTGTGAAAAACTAGGGAGGCATTTAGACACAAACTCTTTTGGCAATTTAGATTCAACAGCTCTAACTCTGTGTTTGCTCTCATATTAACATCCATTCAGGAAAGCTGGGACCAGTTATTTTCCCTCCTTGCTAAAATGTGACCCTTGAGAGAGGGGGGTTGCTGCCAATGTCCCTTCACAGTGCCAGCCAAAGGGCTTCTGGAGAGCAGAGCAGTGTGAGACGGTCTTACCCAGACACTCACCACAACACCCCCTCCAACCACTCCCGACTGAGCCGCTGGCCTCACCAGCAAAGGTTTTTCACTCTGGTGTCTATTTGGGGCCACTCTCACCTTTTGGTATCTTTGGGGCCACATGCCTGACAGTTACTTTTAGGTTGCTTTTCAACAGCTTTGCAGAAACTATCTACTAAAAATCACCAGAGTGCTTCTGATTGTATTTTATTTCCAAAAGCGGGAAGATGCAAATAGAATGTCCTCCTGGGATCCACCTTGTCCAAGTGTAACTTTCCTTCCCATCTCTGCAGCAGTGCATGATGAGAGCAGAGCAGCTGGAAACAGCTTTCTCATTTCACTGTCCATTATGCCTGACAAGCCTGTAATGACCTTGAAATGAGCCTCCTTGATGTGACACCTCCCCTTCTCTCCTCCCCTGCCTGCTTCTCCTGCCTGCAGCAATAAATTTGAGCACGTACTCAATTCTAGTCCCCGGGCAGCTGCGTGCTCCTCGGCACAGATGGGGATGGAGAAGAGGTCTCGGAGCTCTTCCAGGGAGTCCCATAGAAGACGCAGAGAGTCCCCGGCTGCGCAGAGCAAGCGAGAGAAGAGAGAGAGCAGCAGAGGAGCTGGCAAAGGGAAGGGAGATGTAAAGCAGGAGAAAGCCAAGGAGACCAAGAGCACTGCGGGGAGTGATGGTAGGGTGCACACCTCCACAGTGGTGGACGTGGATGATGTGGTGTCTGATGAAGAAATGGAGGCAATGGCATTGCTGGATAGTGAGCAGCAAGAGGAAGGTATGGCTTAAAGAAGGGAATGGGTTGGAAAACTGGGCTTTTTGGTGCTATGTGGGTCACAATGTGACTCTGCTCTCTGCAAGGTGTCATCATTCCCACCTTGCACAGGTGTAGTTATTCTCAGGATAGGATATAGGAAACTCCAGACAGCTTCTGCAGGCTTATTAGCACCATCCAGCAAAGCAGTGAACCTGGATACAAGCAGTTACATTCCCAGCATCCTTCATGCTTCAGCTTGCTACTCTCCAGTTCTGTTCATGCTCTCGTCTCTTCCTTTTCTTGCTTGGCCTCCTCTGGGTGGATGGCACTGGCCTTACTGCCAGTTCATAGCCCAAAGGACCTCGCTGCAAGGAAGAACTGCCCTTGAGGTGCACACTTGCCACTCACCTGCTGGATAACCTCTAAGAGCAGCTCCTCTCCACGTGTTTGTTAGGCACGCTCCCAGCCTGCTACAATAGAAGGGAGCATTGTGATCCTTTTGGCAGTACAACTGGACCTGTTTGGACCCAGATCACCACAGGCATGGCAGATGTCTATTACAGTAGCCAGCACCACTTGTGCCTTTCCATGCTAGCACCTCTGCTGCTCCAAAGTGACACAAAGGTTCAGACTTGCTCCTGATTCCCTGGGAACAAGCTTTTCACAGCTTCATCTTTTTGCCTCCATTACAGGAATTACAGTTCTTAGGTGCTCTAGTGACTACACAGGTTCTTGGTATCTCCCTCAGGACCTGGTGGTTCTGCAAAATATTTGAAAGGCAAAGGGGCAGTATGGAAGGGTTGGAAGGGATTAAAAATGGGAGGGATGCTAACTTCACTGTTGGAAATCTTCATTCACTCTCTGGCTCCATCTGTTTTCATGCCATACCTGCCGATTTTCCCCTCAGATAGGAGCACAACAAAAGGCAGCCAGATCAAGATGACCCATACTCACGTTGGGGAGATGTAGAAAGTAATAATAATCTGGGCTGATGACACTGGTCAGCCTCCAGCACCTTGGGGTGACTTCTTAAAACACAGGAAGATTTTACTGGCACCAGAGGCTTCATCCTACTGCATTAGGAATTTGGGATGCAACTAAAATCCTATTCCAAAACAACCTAAAATACTCTGATGGAGAAGAGCACTTCAGGCTGTGCATGTTTAAAGCTCTCTCTTATTTACAATCTTTGTCTTTAGCTCATCTTTCCAGATAAACATCAGGGATGCCAGCTCAGCAAAGCTGCCCATTCCAAGCCTTTCAACCCTGCTTTGTAGTCCCAATTCTTCAAGAAAAAGTCTGTTCTCTAGTCAAGCAACCATGGAGAAGCATGGCTCAATTTTTGTCAGTAAAGCAGAGACAAAATCTATCTATCCATCCTTGCTACTCCTGTCAATCTGAAGCAGGGAGTGTTCCTTAACTCACCTCCAGAGAGAGCCAAGTGGTTCATTTACAGCGAGGCCAGGCAAAGGACAACAGTGAAGCTGATGTATGCAGGCACTTGTCAGGCTATCACTATTTTGAGAGCAGTCCTCTTCTAACACAGTCCTGTGTTATTTCTCCCTAGGTGTAAAGTCTCCTGGTCTGGGTGTCTGTGAGTGGCTTTTGACCATCTTGTCTTTCCTGTTCATCATAATGACCTTCCCCATTTCTGTCTGGTTCTGCATGAAGGTGAGAATTGCCATGGGACCTCTCAGGATCTGGTGTCTGATCTGCATGTCACACACTGATTCAGTATGTGTTGGACATGAGCATAAAGGTTTTTTTGGTATAAGGCCCCTATTTATACCTCGTCAACTTGTCATTAATTTTGATTTGTCCTTTATCCAATGTTGCTACAGCACAGGGGTCCAACCATTGCCAGTCAAATACTCCTGCTGAAATACCAGCAGGAAGGAACTAAGTTTTCTCTTTTTAAAAACAAATTGTAAGTCTGTTCACTTTCAGACACATCATTCAGCCAACCTAACCCAGACATGGCTGCATTACATCAGCAGGGTAAATAGGCTTTAAATTCAAAATTTTAAGAGATATTGATCTTTCAGTTAATAGCAGATGTTCCCTCTTCCTCTCATTTTTATTCAGATTTATAGCACGGCTACAAGTAGGAACTTGTAGGCATTTTGATTCCCACTTCTCAGGAAATTTCACATTTGTCTTGCTATCAACAAGAATGTCAGTATTACAGCTCAGCTCTTAGGATGAACACATTTGTCTTGGAGGGAAACAAGCAATGTGGAACATTTTAACTCGGGTTATTTAAGTTTGGCCAGGCTATAAGGAAACAAAATGTTGGATCATCTTGGGAAACCCTAGGTGGGTCTAACATGGGCTGCTCTCACCAAATCTCTGTCTGTCACAGGGCTGCTCATATTCAAGGCTGGGCCAGCAGTTCTGGGCAAAGGGTAAAGTGACTCAGTGACAGGTGATGCCACAACCTATGAAATCCTCCCTTTGCAGGGCTTTTCCAGAATAAACTTCCTCCTGTGCTGGTGAGGCTGCTTTTCCCAGCCCTACTTCTTCCTCTCCAGCCTAGATTTGTTTCCCTCTGCAGGTAGTGAGGGAGTATGAGAGAGCCATTGTTTTCCGACTCGGGCATCTCCTTCCTGGCAGAGCCAAAGGACCTGGTAAGGTGTTTACTGAGCTCCCCCCAGCCCCACTGCTCCTCTTCTGCATGCCTTCCCAAAACTCACATGCTGATTCCCTCCAAGCAGATATGGCCAGACAGAAGATTTGATGGTTTTTGTTCCCTTCCTTTTAAGGGCCAGTAGTTTCTTATGGTTTTTCTATCACAGAAGCAGCCTGAGAGTTTGAGCCTCAGTATTGCTGTTCTTTTGTAGTTCTGCATGCTGAACCCTCTTCTGTTCTCCAAGACAGAAGAGGTAATTTTTCTGATTATGAACCTGATAATAGTTCTGATCATGAACCTGCTTTCTCTTCCTCCCACAGGCCTTTTCTTTTTCCTTCCCTGTTTGGACACCTATCACAAGATAGACCTCCGCCTCAAAACCCTAGAGATCCCCTTCCATCAGGTATGGCTGACATTCCCCATCTATATTAATTTTGGGATCTTTTTAATGTTAAATCTTATGTTTCCAACCTTCATCCTTGCAAAGAAAAGTTTGAAAAAAAAATCTCAAAGTAACCTCTGGTTTGCCCAAGATAAATCAGTAGCAGAGGTGGAAGCTACAAAGACTTAACCATTCAGCCAGTCTTCATCACTCTAAATTGTGTGCTTTTCTGTGCTACCTTAGAGTTGCCAGAACCAGCTCTATCTCCCCTAATGTATTCTATTTAGGTGGTGACCAAAGACATGGTTACTTTGGAGATAGATGCTGTCTGCTACTACCGGTTGGAAAACGCCTCTCTTCTCCTCACCACCCTGACCAGCATCTCCAGTGCCATCCAGCTGCTGGTGCAGACCACCACAAAACGCCTCCTGGCACACCAAGCCTTCTCTGAGCTTCTGCTGGAGAGGAAGAACATCAGCCAGGAGATAAAGGTGCTTCTGTGGGGAGGGAGACAGCAAAGCAAGGGGTGAATTGAGGCTCCAAAAGAAGCTCAGGTGGACCCTCAGAGTCTGGTTTGAAGAAGGCTTCCACACCTGGAATCAGTGTGGACTCTAGTTAAATCACCCTAGACCCCTGAGGTTAACACAAATGGGAAGTGAGGGCAGTTATTCTATTTCTGAGAGGCCTTGCCTAGTAGCACTGAACCTGATAAATCTGCCTTACAGTCCCTGAAATTAAAGTCCCTGCCCTGTCTTGCTCCCTGTAAGGGGCCTAGGCAATGGCTGGTGTTCTCCCCATGCTCTAAAAATATTTGTCTTCATAGGTGGCTTTGGATGCAGTCACAGGCTGCTGGGGGATCAAAGTGGAGAGAATAGAAATGTAGGTAGCAAATGCTGGTAGAAGAGAATTCTCTCTCTCTTTGCAAGTACTTGTCCCGTGCTGCTTGTTGTTGCCTGCTCCTCTTCTTGCTTTGCCTCTGGCTCTCTCCCTGCAGGTCTGTTCTGCACAAGGTAGAACCTCACCTCTCACCTTCCTATTTTCCCTGCCCTTTTCAGCCTCTGTCTCATGTAAAATTTCCAAGTGTAAGACTTCTTTCTCCTGCCCTGACAGCCAGAGCAGGATCCTTAGCTGGGATCTCATCACCTTTTTGCTGCTGCTGCAGGCAGAGTTTGCACCCAATTCTGATAGCCCAAAAAGGCACAGCAAGGCACTGAACTCTCCATGTCCCATTCTATATCAATGGGCCTGGGGTCTCAGCACTGGCAGGGATGGGCTCATCACTCAAGTCTGTGCAGAAAGGTGGGACTCACTGATCACATAGAGGGACATGGAAGAGAGAGCCAAGCAGTGAATGAATAAATCTGGGAATGGAACGTTCCTGTCTTGAGAGCTGTCTCCTAGTGGAGTCTCTGCTGCCTCACAAAGAGTGAGCTTAAACTATGAGCCTCAAAGATACAAAGAGGTCTCCCTGCTGGCTGGTGATCATGCCTGGTCACTAGAAAACCAGGCTGGAAGAGAAGTCTGGGAATGGAGGTAGAAGGCTAAAGTGAGACATGCAAAGAGGGACACCCAGGGGCAAAGAATATGAATGAACTGCTCTGCAGAGACCATGAGCCCATCCCAAGCCTCAGACTGACCATCTGAGCAGCAGATCAAAGAAGCAGATGTCCCTGCACAGCGATCCAGTGTTGCTAGGAGAGCCAAGAGCCCAGCTAATGCCTGTCTTTACTGCCACAGCAATAACGTGCAGCTGCCTGCTGAACTCCGTCAGTCCCTGGCTGTGGAAGCAGAGGCCCAGAGACAGGCCAAAGTGCGGGTATGCCAACATCTGAACACTTCTCATCTACTTGCAAAGCATTCTCCCTCCTTTTCCCACCTCTGGTTTGAGGTCCCTGTGTGTGCCACAGAGTCACACAGCTTTGGGTTGATATTTCCTTTAATTCCTGAATAAGAGCCGAGCTAAAAAGGGGAGCTCAGTTGTGAGCTTCTATGGGCCTAGTATAAACATGCCAGACATGAGCTTCCAGACTTCTGGCAATGCCAAGAGGTTAGTACATGCTGTGATCTTCAAGTAGCAGGAAAGTTATATTCACACTGACCCTGAAAATTTCATCATGACAACCTTTCTCTGTAACAAACAGTCTGTGCCCCCTCACTCCCAGCCTCACAGAACCCTCCTTCTTCCCCTGCTTGGTAGGTGATTGCTGCAGAGGGGGAAAAGGCTGCTTCCGAGTCCCTGCGGATGGCAGCTGAGATCCTGTCCAGTGCTCCAGCTGCTGCTCAGCTCCGTTATCTCCATGCACTGCATTCCCTTACCACAGAGAAACCTGCTGCTTTCATCTTGCCCTTGCCTCTGGATGCCATGAACCTGGTCTCTCCAGCTACCCACAGCCCTCCAGCTGTGAGCAGCCTCCTTACAGGCACCACAAAGCTCCCAGAAAATCCAAAAGACAAGAAGGACTCACCTATGCTCTGAGAGAAATGGTTCCCACATTCCTCTTGCTCAGAAAGGAGCAAGAAGACTGGCCCACTACCAGGTTCTGATCTGGAGGCAGGAGGAAAAGGAGTCCAGGCTTGCAATATAAAGTGGATTGTACATGGAAAAAGCCTCTACTTGTTTTGGAAAGGAAAAAATGAGTGCAAGGGGCAGGCCTGGCAAATGTGTGAGCAGGGGGTTGAGGGAAGTGGGGTGTCATCCCTTCTCCTCCACAGAGCCAGGTGCACCTTGACAGGTTACAGCCTGGCTTCCAGGGTCTGATCCGGCTTGCCCCATCACCTTGGAAGGAAGGACAGACCCTTCCCTATGTCCTTACATGCCTCCCATCCACAAACCAAATAGCCAGGCAGGTGGGAGTGGGGGGCATAACAATCCGTGGGGGAGCAGCACACAGGCAGGATGCAGAATGCAAGGGTTTCCCACCTTGCATCCTGGTGGTCCTGAAAGGAGGGAAAGAGCTGGGGTCTTGTGCTGTCCTGGATATGGGATTTCAGTAACCACCCACATACATCCCCATGACCAAGGTGTTTAGCCCTTGTTCCAAAGTAGGAGGAAAAGGATGAAGGGGATTGGGCAGCTTTTAAAGCTTGGTGCTTCCCTGCCGGGCACATCTGCTGTGCAGAGGAAAGGCTGTGCTGCTGCTCACTTCCACAGGGTGGTGAGGCAGGACAACGTCTGAGCTCGTGGCACTTAAAAACGTCAGGGTGACCTGTTTAAGCAGCACCCACTGGGCTGACAAGGGGAATCCGGTGCCACTGGCTGAGAGCCTCGGGAATGGTAACACCTTTGCCTGCCTGCAGCTGCCTTGGTAATTTTCACACACAGAGAATGAACAGAGAGAGTTCTCAAAAACCCTAGAAGCCGCAAAGCTCCTATGTATCTTTTCTGCCTACAGCTGTTTGAAATGGCCAGGAACCTACAGGTATTGCAGTCCTTTCCCTTGGCAAAAATCTGGAGTGCTGTCAAAGGAAACATCCCTGCACTCAGATTTTCCTGGTGCCCTTTATGTTGACGTTATCTCTGCTCCTGCCCTACTTGACCTATAGCATCTCCCCTTGCTTCAAAGCAGATCTCCCTGCACAGCCATTCCCAGCACCACTGTTCTGCTGTTGGTGTCCTGTACAGGTCAAGACAGAGGGCACTTTGTTGCCTTTCTCTTAATTGCCCCCACATTGTTGGTCATGATACCCATGCCTAGCAGGGGATACTCAGCCAGTCGCTCACTCTTGAATTTTCATTTATTCACAGCTCTTTGTCTGCTGGTAACTCTAACTGCTCCACAGTCTACAAACATTTGCCAGCATTTTTACAGCAAGGACACCTGGCCAACCAGCCCTCTTAAAAGTGGCTGGGAAGTGGGAAAAATCCACCTCTGAACTTGGCAGTGACCACACAAGCACCTGACCTCCAGTTGTAACTTCCCACTTACCGTTTGCTACTGTAACCCTCCCAGGGTTACAGTAGGGGAGGGGGCAGCATGATCACTGTATCTCCTGCTGGTGTGTCTGTGATACATCTCAGGAGTAATCTGCTCATGGAAAATAAACTCTGGGAAGTTGAACAGATCTGTCATCTTACACTGGGGAACATGACCTGTGCAGTTACTTCCCTAAAGCTGGTTCTAGTAATTTCTCATGCTGCTGGAATAGGCCCTTCTTTCCCAACCTCAAGGACATAAGGGCAAAAGGGCATAATACTACAGAGAGAGCTGCAGCTGATCCTTTAACTTAACACTTCTTTGGCTGCATTTCTAACTCCGTGTAAAATTATCTATCTCCACCAAGTTTATCGGTACAGGAAGGACCAACAGCTTTACAGATAAAGTCTCAAAGGAGCAACACCTAGCCCAAGAACTGACTGTCAGGAGACAGGCAACACTATGTCAGAGCACACCCATTACCCTGTTTGCACTTGTATTTGCAGAAGGCAGGCATGGGTTTTTCAAATATGTAACTTTCTTACAGAAAGGCAAGTTATAGCAAAGAGCATCTTCAGTTGCCTTGTTCCAATAGGATCTTCTCTCTTTTACATATACAGTCAGCAGAAACTTGTCAGTTTACCACCAGGAGATAGTATGCTCAAAAGCCTTGCAGAAGGAAAACCTAGTTTAAAAATTTACATAAGGATTAGTGATACAAGAAGATTTCAAGAGAGAATTTACTCTGAGGGAGTGGGCAGGTGTTGTCTGAGCTGATGTGGTTGCTGACAGTTTCACAGCCTGCTCTCCGGCCCTTTTCCCTGTGAAACAAAAGTCACCTGCCCAGGTTCCTGATGGCAATTTGCAGGATGCGTTTGGGACTGTCAGGGCAGCACAAGTTCCAGGTGGTGGCAGGTTGGGCCTGGGTTACATCCTGCACCGTTTGGAATTTCAGGAGGCAGGCCCCTGAACACGAACTCCAGAATGTTTCAAATTGCAGAGTCATCCTGCCTCTTGTACATTTTTCTCCTAATCAGTGAGACAGCTGGTAGCTGAATCATCTGAAGCTCAGAGGTAGAAGAAGGTACCCACTATCATATACATTACCAGGCCATGCTGGCACTGAGTAAAATAACTTCTTGTTATGAGAAGGAAGAGGTGCAAACAACTTGCTTCCATGATCCATCAGGGATGAAACAGAAGGAAATAAGGCAGCAAGAAGAGATTGATGAGTGCAAACAGGAGGGGCACAGGCAAGAGGATGCGTTGCATAGATAGTTGAAGTAGCAATTGTTTTATAAGGATAACAAACTGTACAGATGCTAGAACTGTGGGAGGAGGCAGAGGTCAAGCAAGACACTTGTGGAAGTGGCAGAGGCAGGAAGAACAGCATAAATGCTGAAATGGCAGAGCCATGTCAGGATAGCAAGTAAGGAGTAACAGCAGCAGATCAGGGTGAAATGCTGCTGGGAATGGGCACTAAGACACTACTCAGCCATTGCTGTTCTTCTGTGTTTGCTTTTTCTGGATCTCTTGGGCTGGCCAGACGTAGAAGCTTTGGGACTTGAGCAGGTTATGACTTCTGAGATATTTTCTTGGAAATTTTTCAGAAATAAAAAACAGCAAGCCAAAGCCATTAAAAATACCACAGAGTTAAAATATGCCCAAGGTATCACATCCTTAACAAACAAGTTAGCCCCTCCTCCCATTTTTAAGTCAATGGGACAAGATATGCTGAAGGACTAAGGGAAGAAATTTTAATTACCATTCTTTCTCCTTCTCCACATTTGAATCTTGTGGATCTAGTTGAGAAAGAACACAAGGAAATGCTTTCATGCTTAATAAGCTTGTGACCTAAGGAACAGCCACACCATGTGGGCAAGAACAGTAGGTAATTGATGTTCAAATACCTCCTAGAGAAAGCAAGAGTGTCTCATGCTATAAGCACAAAAGATCTGTGGCCTCTGGAACACAATTTATTTCTAATCCAAAATCAATGATCCTAAAGAGATCTTCTTGACTGTCACAGGGAGTACTCGCTCACAAGGAACATGATGCCAATTACAGTGATTTCCTAGATATACACCCTATGTTACATATCAAAATCAAAATTAATTTCTTTCAAAACCAGAGCATGTTCAGCAGTTTTTTCTGCCCTAGAATCACGTTAACAGCCGCTTTGCTTGACCACTGACAGAGGTGAGACAAAACCCCAGGATTTGTCGAACAGGGGAGGGTTCTGCTGTTGGGGTTAGATGAGTGAGGTGTCCTAAAGATTGCTTCAGTCTCCAAATCTGGAAAAAGGTTCAGAATATGCATTGTCCTGACTTTGCCTTTTCTTGTTTGTTGCTTCTTGGATGCCTTCCTCATCTTTCTCCAGTTCTCACTCTAGCTCTTGATTCCCTGCAGAGCTTCTTCCTGCTTCTCTTCAATACCTTCAAATCTTTCCTCTGCATTCTGAGCCCAGATCTCTGTTTCTTTGAAACACAGAGGCAAAGTCATTGCAAAAACTTGAAATATAAGGAGCTGCTTTTAGGAGACCCAAGAGAAAGAAGTGGAGAGGTGAAGAGTCCAGTGGGATTGGCTGACTCTATAAAACATGCTTATGGTTTCAGAGAAGGGCATTATTAAAAGATCTACAAAGGATTTTATGGTACATCTATGTAAACCTTGCAAATTTAATTAATTATAAAATTCAGTGTTTGCTAGCAGAGGGCGAGATGCTGATCTTCACTGTGAGAGGATAAAAACAGAGCAGAGTCAGTTCTATTAGCAGGGATAATGAGATGAGGTTTCCCTGGTTAATGCAAGCTCTCAGACAAAAGAAACACCTGCCTGAAATGAAACCCTGCCCTGCTCAGGCCTCCAGCACAGGACCAGTACTCAAACAGCTGCACTTGCAGACATTCCAGTGCTGCCAGGACTTCAAAATCTTCCAGAGAAAAGGAAATGAAGGACTTGTTGACAGTCACCTCCCTCTGGCTGGAAAGGAAAAAACCTTTTTTTAAATGATCGTGAAACCAACAATGCCACATTTAATCACATTTAATCAAACCAGAGTGTGCCTGGTTTGATGCTGGTGTCTCAGTTCACAGTTCCAACCCAGGCAGGAGCTCTGTGTCAGCAAAACATGGAAGACCAGAGGCCAGGTCAGGCACTGAATGTATCTTGGCATTAAAAACAAAGATCCTTTTCTGATGCAGAAATGAAACTCTCACTGGCTCATAGTCTTGGATTGCTGGTGCAATCATTGGGTTACAGAGGTTGGATATGGCTGTAGCTTGATCAGGAGCAAAAGAAACCCCAAAAACACACACCAACATGTTTGGAGAACAGAAAGGACCAGCTCCTTATAGGGTCCAACAGACATAAGTCAGCTTTCAAGTATGATTTTTCAATAAAAGTAACTGTTGAAAGGCTCCTGCTCTAAGCCTTGGAAGATGATTGTGATTTACAGGGATTTATTTCTGTAAAACAAATCAAAGTTCCATAAAGAAATGCTCCTACATCTACCACTGGCGTGCAGAACTGCTGCCCTCAGTCAGATAATTCATACCAGGCTGCTGCTGAGAGAGAAAAGGAAATAAGAGAAAAGGAAAAAAGAAAACAAGTAGGAGATACCACCGGCCTAGTGGAATTGAGGGCAGCTGTAGGGCCACATGTCACATCACACACTGTGAGTAATAAATAAAAATGTCCTGCTGGAAAGTAGCACATTACAACTACTACAGTCACCTGCATAACAGCAGCTTCCTCTTTTTCTTCTAATCTTTCTTTCTCTGTTACAGATTTCCTAATGGTGTTGGCATCTTCACCTTCAAACTCTTTTTGAGTTGAAGA